AGGCATGATGGCCTTCAGAATAAACCACCACAGTCGTCACGCTCTGTTGAGACAGCAGCCCTATCATTTGTTAAGACTATGGCAGCTTTACCTTTATAATGGAAGTGCCCTTACTTTTATGTTCAATTCCTGTCATAATAAAGGATAGCTTTTAATAGCCATCTTAATTATTTGTTATACCTGCATACTTACTTTCTGTGGCTCATGCACTAGAACAGCTAGGATAGTGATGTCAGTAGAGCAGCTGACTTATGGCATAGATAGGGTAGACAGGAAGAAACCTGATGGAGGGATCAATGACCAAGGGGATAGATTTAAGGTAAAAGGCAGAAGATTTACTGGAAATGTGACAAATATCTTTTTTTTAACCCAGAGGATAGTGGGAATCTGGAACACACTGGTGGTAGAAGCAGAAACCTTCATAATATTTAAGAAGTATTTAGATGTGCACTTGCAACACCAAGGCATACGAGGGCTAGAAAATAGGATTAGAGCACTTATAGAATTTTACAGTACAAAAAGATGCATTCAACTCATCATGTTTGTACTGGCTCCCAAAGCGCTACCCAGTTAACCCCATTCTCCAGCCCTACCTCGGTAGCCCATTAAATTCATCATTTTCAAATATGTATCCAGGTCTCTTCAAACTTCACAGAATCCACCATTCTCATTCTAAATCCTAACAATTCTGAGTAAAGAAGTTTCTCCTCATCTCACTCCTAGTTCTCTTGCGGACAATCTTGAAATTGTGACCCCTAGTTATTGACATATGAACTAGTGGAAACAGAATATCCTTTGTTACCCAATTTCTCTAATCTTTCCTTCTATCTAAATCCCTCATTCCTGGTATCATTCTAGTAAATTTCTTTGCACTTTCTCCAAGGCTTTAACATCCTTCCTTAAATAAGGTGCCCAGAAGTGAACATATCCTCTAAATATGGTCTGATCAATGACTTGTAGAGGTGTAGCATCATTTCCTTGTTTTTATACTCTATTCCTCTATTTATAAACCCAAGGATATGATAAGCCTTGTTAAGAACTGTTTCAAATTGCCTGGTCATCTTCAGAGATTATGCACCTGAACACCAAAGGTCCCTCGGCTCCTAGTTCCCCTCAAAGTTGTACCGTTGAGACTGTATTATCTCTGCATGTTCCTTCTACTAAAATGCATTATCTCACATTTCTCTGCATTGAAATTCATCTGCCAGGTGTCTGCTCATTTGTCCATCTTGTTAATGTTCCTCTGAAGTCACTTTGCATCATCCTCACAATTCACTATTCTCCCTGGCTCAGTATCATCTGCAAATTTAGAGATTTTGCCCTCAACATCCATCTCCAAGTCGCAACACCGATCCCTGGGAGAACACCACTTCCAACTTCCGTCGGAGAAATGTCCATATATACCAACCCTCTGCTTCCTATCTTTTAGCCAACTTGTAATCCATGCTGCCAATGAACCATCAATCCCAAACATTTCTAATAGACTAACCAACCTGCCATGTGGCACTGCATCAAATGCTTTCTGAAAGCCCATATATACAATATCCATAGCATTACCCTCATCTGCTGCTTGTGTCACCTTGTGAAAGAACTGTTAAATTTGTCATACATGACCTGCCCTTGGCAAAGCCATTAACTTACTTTTCTTAGTTTATATTTACCTTATTCTTAATTATAGCCTCCATCAGGTTGCCCACTATTGACGTAAAGCTGACATTTTTGTGTTTCCTGGGTTATCCTTTGCCCCTTTCTTATGCAACAGTGTCACATTTGCAATCCTCCAGTTCCCTGGGATTGATCCCGTGTTCAGAGAGGCCTGGAAAATTTTTGTCAATGGCTCTGCAATTTGCTCCCTTACTTCTCTTAGCATCTGGGCCTGGTGACTTCCTGGAATTTTGCCAGCCTTTTTAGCACCTCTTCTTTATTTATCACTATATTGCTCAGCTACTCAATGCCCAAATTTTTAACTCTGTCATTGTCACCATTTTCCAATTTGGTAAAGATGGAAGCATTAGTCCCTCTGCCCACATCCTGTAAGCATTTTACACTGCTTGTTCCTTGTGGTCTCCGCTCTATCCTTCCCAGTATGCATCAAATGCCTCCTTTCTTTTCCTTATTTTCTCATCAAGATCCTTAGTCATCCAGGGTACTGTAGCTTTGGATACCCCACATATACTTCCCAAGGGTATGTACCTAGTTTGCACCCTATTCATCTCTCCTTTTAAATTCTCTTGTTTTTAATCCATTGTTTCATCCACCAAATGCTTTTCCTATCAATCTGCTCCAATTTAACTTTTAGACCCTAAAATCTGCTTTTCCAGTCTGGGATTTTAATCACAGACTGATTTTTATCCTTTTACAATTTAATATTCAACCTTATTATGTTATGACTGCTATTTCTCAAATGCTTCCCAACTCTGATGTTCTCCACCTCGCCTGCCTCATTTCCTAACACCAGATCCAGCACAGCTGGAGGTAGGAGTGGAGATGTACTGTTCCTAAATGTTCTCCGGCACACTTTGCAGGAATTTCTCCCTTCTGTGCCCGACACACTACCTTTCCCATTATACTTTCAGGTAATTGAAATCACCAACTATCACAACCCTACTTGTCCTGCTGACTTCCATAATCTGCCTACAAATGCTCTCTTCTACTTCCTCCTCACAGTTTGGAGGTCTATAATAGGTCACTGCTCCCTTCCTATTTCTCACCTCTGACCATATAGAGTCTAATTCAGGAACTGCATCTCATTCGAAGGCAATGTTATCTTTATCAAAATCTTTGACCTAGACTGCTTTGCCTCCTTCCATTTTACCCACCCTGTTTCAACTTTAAAGCTTTATAAACCAGAATGTTAAGTATCCAGTCCTGCTCTGGCTTGTGCCTCATTTCTGTCAATGTGACTATGTCATATCCCCTCAGAGCAATTTCTGCTTCCAGTTCCCCAATTTTGTTCATTATACTTTGTGCATTTACATACATACAATTTAATCCTGTCCTTATCTCTTTCTTGCCAATTGGAAGGTAACGTTTGACCAGGAAACAATTTCATGATTCTGCAAGGTCAATGCCATTTGCTTTGCGGGCGAATATAGAGGCAGAAATCAAAAGGCTAGAAAGTCAAGGAATCATCAAATCAGTCCAACCTGTGGAATGGGGAGCACCAGTCGTACTGATTTTGATGCCCGAGGGTTGGTCTGCCTTTGTGGGGATTCTAAACAAATGGTAAACAGCTTCTCACAGCTGCATTATACTCAATCCCTTGGCTACAGGATTTACATGCAAAACTGGTGGGGGCAGGGGGTTGTGCTGTCTTTCACGAAGCTAGTCATGAGCTACGCTTACTTGCAATTGTAACTGTACTTGCCTTTACCACTTCCTAGAGTCAGAGTCATACAACACAGAAACAGACCTTTTAGTCCAACTAGTCCATGCCGGCCATGTTTCCAAACTAAACTAGTCCCACTTACCTGCTTTTGACCCATATCCCTTCAAACCTTTTTCATTCATGCATTTATCCACATGTCTTTTCAACACTAACGGTACCTGCATTAACCACTTCCTCTGGCAGTTCACACTCTGTGTACAAAAGTTGCTCCTCATGTCCTTTTTAAAATGTTCTTCTCCCACCTTAAAAATACGCCCCCTAGTTTGAACACCTCCACACTAGGGAAGAGATGCTTGCTATTCACCTTGTCTATGTCCCTCATGATTTTATGAACCTCAATAAGGTCATTCCTCAACTTCCTACGCTCCTGTGAAAAACGTCCCAGATTTTCCAGTACTTCTGTAATATCTCAAACGCTGCATGCCCAGCAACATTCTGGTAAATCTTTTTTGAACCCTCTTCAGTTTAAATAATATCCTTCCTATAACGGGGTGACCAGAATTGCACATAGTACTCCAGAAAAGGCCTCACCAACGTCCTGTACAATCTCAGCATGACTTCTCAATTCCTGTACTCAAAGTTCTGAGCAATGAAGGCAAGCATGGTAAATGCCTTCTTAAGCACCCTGTCTATTTGTTGACACAAATTTCAAAGAGTTATGTACCTGAACCCTTAGGTCTCTCTATTCTAAAACACTACCCAGGGCCCTACCATTAATTGTATAAGTCCTGCCCTTTTTTGTATTACCAAAAGGCAATGGCCAAACAGAATACTGGAAAGAGAGAGTGCTGGTGGCATGCTATAAAGACAACAATCTCACACTCAATGTCAGCAAAATGAAAGTGCCGGTCATTGACTTCAGGAAGCAAGGAGGAGGGCAAGCCCCTATCCACATCAATGGAGATGAGGTGGAGATGGTCGAGAGCATCAAATTCCTAGGTCACCAACAATTTATCCTGTTCCACCCATGTTGACGCAGTCAAGAAAACACAACAACATCTCTACTTCTTCAGGAGGCTAAGGAAATTTGGCAGGTCCGCAACGACTATTACCAATTTTTAGTTTAGTAAGCTCACCTCAGGATCAAATGTGACATCACAACTGCAAAAATTGCACACATTGTATTCTCTGACATTTCCTGCAAGCTTTTCATTCTCTCTTTTTGTAACTTTGTTTAGTCACACTTTGATGTTCTTTGTATCTTTCCAGCTCTTTTGTTAGCCACAGAAGTTTTGTTTGGCACGTAGATTACCTGCCACTTAAATGTCTAAGCTGGTTCTGAATAATTTTTTTTTCTGAACACCTTGAACTGATCTTCGGTGATTTTACTCATTCACAGTCGCTTACAGTTAATTGTGAAAAGTTTCTGTCTCATCGCACTCAACAGCCTTATCTAAGCCTAGAATTTAAAACTGTTTCACATCTCTCCCTTTCAAGCACTGAACTCTATTATATCCATACTGATAATTACTTTTCAGAATAACTACTTCTGTGTACCACAAAGAATAAACTTAGTGACAATGAGTTTTCTTCCCCCTCAAAAACATATATAAAACAGCTATCCAAAAGACACAACAACAAGAATCTTACTTTGGAATAAATGAGCACTCACCTGGTGTAGTGTTAAAATCAAGAATGCGATGATGAGACTGCAACAGGTCAGGATTACTGGATGATAAGGTGCCACTTACAGGCAATGCAGGTGCAATATATCTGGACTGTTTCAACCCGACTATACTGTCATCCTGGGACTGACCAATACCAATATCACTGTAAGAAGCAACAGAGACATGGGTAAACGCTGGATCCAATATTGCTCATCTCAAGTCACAAAAGTGCTGTACAAAGGCTTAATGCATCATATCTAAGCACAGAAACTCAACATTTGTTCCAGCAGATCTATACAACAACAACGTATGATTATCCAGCACATTTAACATTGTAAAATATCTCAAAGTGATTAATAGGAGCATTTAGAACACAAATACAGATCCACATAAAGAGATATTTGGGGTGATGACCAAATGCTCACTCAGGGACAGATTTAAATGAGCAAAAAGGGATAGAGAAGCAGACAGTCCTAGGTTAGGAATCCCAGAGTTTCTGGCTTAGACAGCTGAATGCCTGGCCACTTATACTGGAGCAATCAAAACTAGGAATACTTAAGTGCCCAGGTTTAGAGCAGCAGATAAATTACAAAGGGCTGTAGGGCTGCAGGGCTGCAAGAGATTACAGAAATGGCTAAGGTGGGTTGGAGTTAGGCGATAATGTGGAGGTGTAAATATAGAGTGGAAATCAGTGTGATGGTGTGGATGTGGATATGAGATTGAAATCTTACCTGAGGGCCAAATACAGCATCAAAATTGGAGACTTGTTTTTATGCTCCAAATGAGCTTCATCCACTCTAATTTTATCTAATTTATCAATATATCCTTCAATTTATTTCCCTTATTATGTTCTTATCCAGCAGCTTTTTAAGTGGCTCTGTCATTGACTGAAATTTGCCAAGTGTTAGCAAGTTCTAAATTCGAACCACTGTAAGTACCGTTTCTCCTAAATTCATTGCTAAATTTATTAATTATCTTATAATTTTTATAGCCTCTGTGTGCTACTCACAAGTAGAAAAACATTCTATACATGCTTCTCATCAAATAATTTCGTAAGTTTGAAGACCGCCATCAAGTCCCTTCTTGGACTTCTCTTTTCTGGAGAAAAGAGGCCTAACTCAACTATTATTTCCTATTTTTATCTCTAACTCCTTTTTATAAATGGAGATCAGAACTGAGCAGAGTACTCTGATGATTTGATCAAGTTCTATAAAAGTTTAACATAATGTTTCTGTTTTGAATTCTGTTTCTCTTGAAAATAATTACACTGTTTTGCATAAGGTTCTATCGTAGACACATTTGATTCTATTGTCTTTGCACTTCCAGAAATTTTTATATCATATAATCAGTCATTGTTAATATTACATTATTTTTCCCAAAATTGGTACATCCACAAAAACCGCAATCTAAAGTATGTAGAAACTCAAGAACTAAGGGTAAAAGCAGGCCATACAGATCTTCAAGTTTGCTCTGCCATTCAATTTGATCACATGATATTCAGCTTCTACTCCACTTACCTGCCTGTCCCAACCCTCCATATCAGTAGATTCCCTGGGAGATCAAAAATCTGTCTATCTCAGCCTTGAATATATTCAAGGATGAAGCATCCATAACCTAGAGTTGAGAAAATTGTGAATCTTCATAACTTCTTTGGGCATTAATTGCCCTTTCTGTCTATGGTTAAGTTGCACTATTGCTTTTAATTTCCAAGTCAATGCTAATAAAAGTACATTGTCACTTTCTGGGAAACTATTAGATTCTGTGCTGCTAGACTTCTAGAATGGAACTTCTAGAAACAGCCACACTTTTCACTTCAATAATTAGTTTCAGTGATCTTTGCAACAATGAACATATGTGCGGACGTTAGATTAAAAACAACAATGTTCCCAAGTAAAAATCACTAATCACATTCTTTCATTTGCCAGAAGAAAAGTCACTATGAGGACAATAGTATTTTTAAAAAGACTTGGAGAAGGAAGTAGGAAAAAAATATACTAGCAAGTCTTGCTACCCTACTTCATTTATGAGAAACTATTTTATTCAGCTTGAGAACGGAGGAAAATACCAGATAGAAATATTTTCAACACAAATAATAGAAAGAGTTCAACAATAAAAAAAAACTTAATTCCAAAATTTAATGCAAATTTCTTCGTTTTTTTTAGAATTATAAACATGCTAGAAACTTAGAAAATATTAGGGACCACAGGATTAACCAGTGGTGAAAGATTTCAAAACAATTAAAAATAAATACAAACCTACAAGCAGACTTAAGGAGTTTTATAATGAAATTAATTATTTGATCCTTAAAACTAAACAAAGACAATCAACAGGAAATTCAGCTTTTCAATCTTAACTGCATTCCTTCTTTAAAATCAACTGGCTGGTCACAATTCATCTACAGAAAACAAACGTTAAAATTGAAGTAAGCACTATTAATAAGGCCCATTTAAACATATGGAGTCATTAAATCAATGCAGCCACAAAGGCTGTTGTTCTGCAGAACTAAAAAGGTGAATGTCATGCAGAGAAAAGATTCCTTGATTCCTTTGAGTTAAGTGAACAGTTACTCCAATATGGTGATTGAATTTTTACACAAATAGCCCCTGAAACTATGGTTTTCAGGTAAAAGGAAGAGAAACAAATTAGTGGCCAACAGAAAAGTATGGCATTTTGTGTCATCAACATACATTTAAAAAAGAAAAGGAACCAATGACAGCTGGACCAACCATTGGCTAATTTGGACTATTTCAAGTCTAAATTCAATGTCAATAGACTAAAGAACTATCTGAAGAAACTCCTACTCAGACAGTGCTTCTCAGTCAATCTGGCAACATTCCAATGAACTAGAACCACAGAATGCCTGATCTGCCCTTAAACCCATCAAAAAGAGATTAAAACAACACAGTGTGGAGCTGGAGGAACACAGCAGCATCAAAGGAGCAGGAAAGTTGACGTTTCGGGTTGGAACCATTCTTCAGAAATGGGGAGGGAGAAGGGAGTCGGTGGGGTGGGGCTGGGGAAGGCAGGTGGGATGGTGATAGGGGAGTGCAGGTAGGGAGTGGTGGGGATTGGTCAGTGGGATGGGAGGGACGGATAGGTGTGAGAGAAGATGGACAGGTTCTGTCAGGTCAAAGAGGCGGGATGACAGGGAGGGTTGGACATCAGATGAGGCCGGGGGTGGAAGATTTTAAAACTGGTGAATTCCATATTTAGGCCATCGGGCTGTAGGCTCCTGAGGCGGAATATGAGGTGTTGCTCCTCCAGTTTGCGGGTGGTGTCATTGTGGCACTGGAGGAGGCCCAGGATGGACATGTCACCCAGGGAGTGGGAGGGGAAGTTTAAATGGTTGGTGACTGGAAGGTGCTGTTGTTTGCTGCGTACAGAGCGATGTTGCTCTACAAAATGGTCTCCAAGTCTATGCTTGGTCTCACCAATATAGAGAGGGCCACATCGGGAGCAGTGGAAGTTGATAGATGCGCAGATGAACCCCTGTCTGATATGATAGGTTTCTTTTGGGCCTTGAATGGAGGTAAGGAGGGAGGTGTAGGGGCAAGTGCAGTGCTTCCTGTGGTTGAAGAGAAAAGTGCCGGGTGTGGTGGGGTTAGTGGGGACTGTGGAGCGGATGAGGGAGTTGCAGAGAACACGGACCCTACGAAAGGCAGATAGGGGTGGGGAGGGAAATATTTCTTTGGTTGCACGGTTGGATTGTAGGTGGCAGAAGTGGCGGATAATGATACACTGGATGTGAAGGCTGATGGGGTGATGTTTGAGGACAAGGGGGAATTTTGGCTTTATTTTTGTTGGGTAGGGGGTGTGAGGGTAGAAGTGTGGGAAATGCAAGAGATGCAGTTGAGGGTATTTTCGATCACTAGATGGGGCAAGTTACGGTCCTTGAAATAGCAGGACATCTAGGATGCTCTATCTTGCCAGGAGATAAGGCAGAGGCGGAGAAATTGGGAGTAGGGGTTCGCAATCTTGCAGGAGGGTGGGTGAGAGGAGGTGTAGTCCAGGTAGCTGTGGGAGTCGGTGGGCATGAAATAGATGTCAGTTTTGAGGCGGTCACCAGAGATGGAGACAGAGAGATCCAGGAAGGAGAGGGAAATATCGGAAATGGTCCAGGTGATTTTGAGGTTGGGGTGAAAGGTGTTAGTAAAGTTGATGAACTGTTCGAGCTCCTCGTGGGAACACAAGGCAGCGCTGATGCAGTATTCAATATAGTGTCAGTGTAACGGTGGCAACAAGAATGGTTTGATAAGTATGATGATGGAATCTAGGAGCTACTAATGCCCAAGGGCAAGATGCTCCTCAGCTGGAAAAACCACCAAACCTCCAGGGAAAGAAAGCAGGTTTACTGGCAAATGAATGCCAAGGCTGAACTCCTGACCAAAACAATCAGACAGTAGTTGGAAGGAACACAGGAAATCTAGCAACTCACTGACAACCATGGTGTGCTTGAATTCTTCAGTGTAGACAAGGCCACCTGTGACCCAAGCACCCAAATCACTTATTCTGAGGGCTAAGAACGGAGTGGTGCTCATAAAGAGACACAGTCAGTGCTCACTGGATAGAGCACATGATGAATCTCAACTGAATCAATATGCAGTACATATTTTAAATCATGTAAATCAATAAGTAGAGATAACAAGGTGCAGAGCTGGATGAACACAGCAGGCCAAGCAGCATCATAGGAGCAGGAAGGCTGACGTTTCGGGCCTAGACCCTTCTTCAGAAATGGGGGAGGGGAAGGGGGTTCTGAAATAGATAGGGAGAGAGGGGGAGGCGGATAGAAGATGGATAGAGGAGAAGATAGGTGGAGAGGAGACAGACCGGTCAAAGAGGCGGGGATGGAGCCAGTAAAGGTGAGTGTAGGTGGGGAGGTAGGGAGGAGATAGGTCAGTCCAGGGACAGGTCAAGGGGGCGGGATGAGGTTAGTAGGTAGGAGATGGGGGTGCGGCTTGAGGTGGGAGGAGGGGATAGGTGGGAACAGGTTAGGGAGGCGGGGACGAGCTGGGCTGGTTTTGGGATGCGGTAGGGGGAGGGGAGATTTTGAAGCTTGTGAAATCCACATTGATACCATTGGGCTGCAGGGTTCCCAAGCGGAATATGAGTTGCTGTTCCTGCAACTTTCGGGTGGCATCGTTGTGGCACTGCAGGACGCCCAGGATGGACACGTCGTCTGAGGAATGGGAGGGGGAGTTGAAATGGCTCGTGACTGGGAGGTGCAATTGTTTATTGCGAACCGAGCGTAGGTATTCTGCAAAGCGGTCCCCAAGCCTCCGCTTGGTTTCCCTGATGTAGAGGAGGCCACAATGGGTACAGCGGATGCAGTATACCACATTAGCAGATGTGCAGGTGAACATCTGCTTGATGTGGAAGGTCTACTTGGGGCCTGGGATGGGGGTGAGGGAGGAGGTGTGGGGGCAGGTGTAGCACTTCCTGCGGTTGCAGTGAAAAGTGCCGGGTGTGGTGGGGCTGGAGGGGAGTGTGGAGCGGACAAGGGAGTCACGGAGAGAGTTGTCCCTCCGGAAAGCAGATAAGGGTGGGGAGGGAAAGATGTCTTTGGTGGTGGGGTCGGATTGCAGATGGCGGAAGTGTCGGAGGATGATGCATTGGATCCGGAGGTTGGTAGGGTGGTACGTGAGGACGAGAGGGATTCTTTTTTGGTTCTTATTGCAGGGACGGAGTGGGAGGGATGAGTTGCAAGAAATGCGGGAGACACGGTGGAGGGCGTTCTCGACCACTGTTGGGGTGGGGGGGGGGGGGGGGGGGCGGGGGGGGGAGTTGCGGCCCTCGAAAAACGAGGGGACATCTGAGATGTACGGGAGTGGAATGCCTCATCCTGGGAGTAGATGCGGCGGAGGCGAAGAAATTGGGAATAGGGGATGGCATTTTTGCAGGAAGGTGGGTGGGAGGAGGTGTATTCTAGGTAGCTGTGGGAGTCGGTGGGCTTGAAATGGATATCGGTTTCTAGGTGGTTGCCAGAGATGGAAACAGAGAGGTCCAGGAAGGAGAGAGTGGTATTAGAGATGGTCCAGGTGAACTTAAGGTTGGGGTGGAAGGTGTTGGTGAAGTGGATGAACTGTTCGAGCTCCTCATGGGAGCACGAGGCGGCACCGATACAGTCATCAATGTAACGGAGGAAGAGGTGGGGTTTAGGGCCAGTGTAGCTATGGAAGAGGGATTGTTCCACGTAACCTACAAAGAGGCAGGCATAGCTTGGGCCCATGCGGGTACCCATGGCCACCCCCTTTGTCTGTAGGCAGTGGGAGGAATTGACTTGATGCTGGGGCAAGCAGTAGCAGGTTCAAGCACAATATTGACTAAGAACATTAAGCCTTGAAAATACAGTATGAATACTAAGCCTTAAAAATACAGAAAGCTGCTCCTTTCTGGAAAGAGAGATCACACCTCAGGTGAGACACAGCCAAAGTAAGTATATAGCTCAGGGAATCTGGAGGTTGCTCAGGAACTTGGCGCAGAGAAGAAAGCTTTTTGCTTCATAGTTTGTAAGGTCTCTACACAGGATACTTGAAGCCCAGGAGTCGGGGCCAAGCACCAAAGTGACACCATAGAACTATGAGTTCATTGGTTGGTCATAGCTACTAATTTTACTATCTATTACAGCTTAATTAAAAATTGAAGGTAAACAGGAGAAATATTTACAGGTTATAAACTAAAGGACCAGTGTGAGATTTTTAAAAAGATAAATTAAGAACTCGGTAAATAAAATAAATGTAGGCCCAGGTTTTGTGTTGTAACTGCATGATCTAACAGCTGGTGGACCCACTGTGGTTCGTAGTTACCACATCTGTAGCAAGTGTTGTTTGCTTGAGTAACAACAAATCAGAATTGATGAGCTGAAGTCTGAGCTTCAAACACTGTGACACATCAGGGAGGGAGAGACACTAACCGGACTCAGTA